AATTCGCAGGGAGTTTTCTTTTCACCAAAACCCTAGTTCGAATTCTGATGTATTTTCTCTTGTTTTTCTCCTCCTTTCTTCTTGATTAAGAAACCTCCTAATTAGGARTTATCCCAATCCAAATCTGTATTTGGATAGGGGATTATCTTAATCCTATCTGCAAATTAAGTTAGTTCACTCCTGATCTTATCAGGAGGTTACCAGATTCAAATCTAATTTGAATTTGGTCTCCTAGAGTAGATAAGGTTAAAAGCCCAATCCTTTTACTAACATTAATCTCAGATTCGCCCCATAGATGGGTGATCATATCAGCCTAACTCAAAATGGGCTTTTGGCCTATTAAATGTTCAGTGTTTAAACTAGTTTCCAATCTGCTGCCCAGTTGGGCTTCTTTGTATGGCGTGGGACCCAAGCATTGATCTACACACCAGTCACATGCGTTCGGCCCAGCCGAATTCAGTGAAAGACTCAGTAAACCCCTGAGCCCATCATATGGACCCTATGGGCCCAACACTTACATTAAGTGGTCCCTGGGCCAAGCCATCTTATAAAAACCAAAGGACTGTGGACAGGTGCAAGATTAGCCCATCAGGTACTATCCTAAATGGTCTTACACTTAACCTCTCAGCCCTTAATGATCAAGCACTGACAAAAGAGGACCTCTCCCCCGACTGCAAGGAACAATGCCGCACTCTCCACTCACATGAATCCCGGGAATTAAAACCATTTGCAAACAATTCGAAACCGTACATATATCTATATAAATATATTAATTTTGCAAAACAAAATTCCAACGATTGAAATCAACTGCCGGCAGTTTGGTTTCCATCAGAGAGTGCATTCCCGATCATTACCCTTTGTCCGACAAAGGGGCTGATCCTGTCACTATGACACCCACTCAGATGAATTCTCAGACTGTCCCAACATACCCAGGTTTTGATCCCCATCTAAGGATCTGACTGATTGGCATATCAAAGACAGCCCGATCCGACACCTAGTGAAATGTCATAATCGAGTCTAGGGGTCAGGTGTAACTTTCCAATTTTTGCCCATCTGTCTCCAAGGTCCAGGGCAATACTGGAAATCTAGTCCGGTTCAAGGATTCAAGTAATCTCATACTGCATGTGCCTTGGGTCTTACCCTGGTAGCTGAGACAGGCCATCCCAACATTTGGTGGCACACCAGTATCAGCCTTGGCAGGATAAATCTCCCCAGACTTGTCCAACGGTTGCAAATATTTAAAACTAACACGAGTCTCTATAAGTGTCCAGTTTTAGGGTCTTACACAAAATTAAACCAAACAACATAAATCAAACATGCACTTTATTTATTTCCACTAAATAACAAAAGTACATCAAATCGGATTGAAGCTAAAGGCATACAAAACTGTCTAACATTAAAGGACAAAGGTGGAGTGATGTAGGATGTGGTAGGGGCTCTACAAATTTTAATCTGGTGGTGGGCTTTGTGGGGTAAGGGAAGGGCTTTGGATAATCAAAGATGAAGAATTATTGTTAATTTGAGTTTTGTTTCCATTCATGCACCACTGGTCTTCAAATTAAGTTTCAGATGGTATACTAATCTCAGAACTGTGTAACATTGGGCATTCTGCTCGCATACTAACAAGACTTGTACTTAAGTTCATGAATATTTCTGTCACCTAACAATTGTCAAAGCTTATGGGTCCTGTACAGCATATGTCAGATAAGTATTTAACAGGTCTTACATCCACAAATGGATCATGTATCCAAAGACAGAATGATTATCAAATAATATTGAATCATCTACCAAAGGGAATCTATGGTTATGAGAGACCTAAAAGAAAATCACTGACAGACTTGTGAGTTAACTTAGATATAAATTTCATGGCTGCCACAGTATACAAGATCTTAAAATACCTGCTTTGGAGTCTGATGATTTTTGAGGAGTCTTTGATGATTACTAAAATATTCAAAGCCCTTTGTAATCATTAAGAGAGCCATAAGGTTGGTACTCCACAGGAGTAGGCAGCATAATGCTGTTTTCTAATGTATTGGCCATCCAGCTTTTGGATAGCTTGGAACATTATGAATTATCCTTTTACTGTTACCCATCAAATGAAAGAGTTGGTCCAATTACCCCCCCCCCCAATTAAGCCAGCTCAAGCAAAAAGCAAGGTTTTTAAAACTGAACCGGACAACGAACCGGTCAAGGGTCCGGTTCCCAGATCGAATGGTCCAACTGTTCGAACTGAACGGATGGCCATTCTGACAAAAAAATAAAAATAAAAAATAAAAAGAAAACGGCCAAAACCGTTGGATGGTTCAAATGGTTTGACTGCCCGGGTCAGCAAGCCGTTGGATGGTTCAAATGGTTTGACTGCCCGGGTCAGCGGTTTGCTGACCAAATCAACGGTTTTTGGCAAAATAACGGTTCTGGGGTAAAACATCCCGGTTTTTCCAGTCCGGTTTTGAAAACCATGGAAAAAAGCAACCAAAGTCAAGTATTACCATGTAGACTTATCTTATATTAAAAGTGTATAAGAGACAAAATCTACAACAGAAACTTAAGGTCATTGTGCTCAAAAGGAAGGAATATTGAACAGTAAATGACTCGATTTTCTTTGGTTAAGAGATTGCCTTCAGCATTTTTTATGCCCATGAGAAGTTTCTTAACAATGACATGCCCATTGCAGTTCTGATATACTTTGCTAGATCAGGTTCTGTAATAAAGAAATTTAAAAGTCAAGTCCTACAACTTTTTTTTGAGGTATGGATAGCACAAATACCTGCCTGAAGGCAGCAACTAAAGAAAGACAGCAAATGCAACCCTCAATGAAAAATGTTGTAACAGAACCACTGCTTAATAAAACTTACCTTCTCCAGAGGATAAGCAGTTTTGCCACAAGTTGCACATTTTTCTTGTGTACCAGAAAACATGCTAGCAGCTTTACTAGGCGACCTAGTCTGCAATCCATACAAGACATTGAAAATGAGAGACAACGTCAAACAATAACATCACATACCATCATCATTCATTTCTTTGATTGAATCAGTATTATGGATGCATTCAGTGCCTTTGAGCAAAATTACCAGTTCTGGAGTTAACTTCTCAGCCGACTTTGCAGCTGCCAAAAATGAAATTTATTGAACAATTAAAATATAGCAGTAAAGTTGGTATTAAATCAAATAAAAAAAAACTTAAATTGGCATAAAATAGGGCATACGTGACTGAAAATTCTTCTTGAAACTACCAGTCTCCTTGAAGAGCTGCTCAAAATGAGGTTTGCAGTACAGAACACCTTCCATTGAGGAATAGTTGCTTAGCTGAAAGCAGAAATATTAGTTACCAGGTAAGAATTTTCTATTGAAGTCAAACCTTTAACTACATAGGCAGAAAGCTTCTATTTTTCCCATGATAGTGAGACACCTCTTTCTTACATTTTTTAATTGATATCAAACTCAATTATCACTTAAGGAATGAATCAAAACTTGCACGCATTCAGATGCATCATATCTTACCCACTTATTTATAATATTAGAAGCTTTCAGTTTACATAGCTTTAAGCCAATGTATTATTATAATTGTGAGACATCAATATGCAGTAAACACAAAAAAGTTCAACAAAATCATAGATTTCAATAGATGGAAAATCATATTCTAATATACACTACAAGACTGCCACAAACCATGTTCTAAATTTGTATGGGCAGAATGAATAGCATCTCAAGATAGACGCAAACAAATCAGAACCATATCAATGGAATATAACAACTATTTTTTTGATAAATAACTTGAATTAGAATTTCAGATGATAAGCTTTACAATCATCCCATAGAGAGGCAAAAGATGCTACCTCTCTATAAAACAACAAAAACAAGTTAAATTTGAGCCCTGAACAGAAAATTCCTATTCATCCCTTGCTTAGCCAAAGCATCCACCATCCCATTTGCAGATCTCCTCACCCATTGTATCCTAAGGTTCATATTCCTGATAAGCCATCTAAACCTTTTCATTTCATTCCATTGACATCTCTCCATCCACCTAGAATACCATTGTATGCAGAACAGTGTTGGATGAACATGGGCACAGGTGTCAGAATTCAATGCAGGTATGAGATTTTGACTAGCCAAAACAGGAAAGAAAGGACCCGGAAATCTGTGTTTACTATTATTTTTTTCCTCTTCTCAATTGTATTATAAAACACCTAAAAATTGCATAAGTACTGTAAAAGTTTATTTTTATTACACAAGTGTTCCATGAGAAAAAATTGGAATTCATTATGCATATTACATGTTCTTTTATGTCAAAGAAACAAGGAGAAAGAGGGAAATCATAGAAGTATCCACTCAAGAATCCAAGGAATATCAGAATCTGATGCATGTTCCACATGCACCTTTATCCATTTAGTGTCCATTTAAAACTGATGTAGGGTAATCTGTTGAATGAGTTACTGTTTAGAATAAAAAAAAGGAGGAAAACGTCCTGGTTAAGAGCAGAATGACAGGATCTAGGCTCAATAGTCACATCCGTTATATAAAACTTATTCTCAAGGTTTAATACAAACATTTGGTAGACAAAATGGCATAAACTGTAGTTTTTTTCTCTACAGTGGATGTATTTTTGTGCTATCATACAGCTTTAAATGAACAAGAAATATGCAATAACAATGCAACTAATCCACTATGCGTTACAAAAAGTGAATTAACATTTGATTAAACTTTGATCATAGACAACTAAATATGCCCCATCACGAAAACAGATTTCCTCTTCTTTTACTCCAAATGGCTCATAATTGACATAATTATGTATTCCTCAGCAATATCTTACCCGGTTCTCACGAGCAGGGGTGCAGGGGATATGGCATCCATTTAGAGAAGTTGTCATAAATGCATGGACTTGCTTAGATAGACAAATGCAGAGAGCAAATACTATAAAATATACCGATCTTTTTTATGCGTATTAACAGAGTGTTTCTTTAAAATGGGCGGAATCACAGGCTTTTTTATTCAATAAGGTAATGATGGGTAACGTGCATAGAAGAGGTGTAACATGATTCCCTATTTCAGGGCTAATATATTAAACAAGATTAAATGAAAGGTCCTGATTTAAGTTATTCGTGTAAGAAAACAATACTCCTAAAATGTAACACAAAGTAGTAGAATGTTACTTTGTTCCTAATCGATTTACAAGTTAAATATACTTGAAGTGATAAATCTTCCACCTTCGAGCTAATAATAATCGAAAAGGAAAATGAACTCGCTTTATTTCTCACCTAAGAAACCAGCAAATCTTACCTTCAGAGTACCTTTGCAGTGACTGCACTTGAAGCAGGACTTGTGATAAGTGACTCCATCAGCAGACAGCTGATCGACCACGTAAACAGTCTTCTCACAAGCCTTACACTTCTGCTGCGTGCCGCCGAAGAAAGCCATCGGTAAAGCTCTAGATCGGACGCTCTTCTTTTTAAATGAAAAGCGGTCGCAATCAGTTGAGGAACAAGAGAGAGCGGAAGATCGAATGAATTTACTTTAAAAAAAAAAAGGAATGAATAGAACAAAAAAAAAAGGTTGGAAATTCCAACTGTTTTTCTTCGGATTGCCTCTATCAAGATCTCACCAGCTCCAAACCCTTTCAACGCAACAAGGACAATTGTTACAGTAAGGAGCTGCAAATATCATTCCAACATAATGGAATTGAAAGTACTCACTGAAAGAGAGCGATCTGAAGCCTTTACAGACAGAGATCGTCGGTTAAACCCCTCCCAGCAAACTCTGTTGACCCGATCAAAAAGAAAAACAACCAAAACAAGCAACAAATTTAACAATATCTCCTTCAACGGTATAGTTAAGTTCAGCTTCGTCAAGTCAAAGATCCAGAATTGAATGGATCGTCGATGCTGAGCACGATAAAAGTTAATCCCTCAATCACTCAGCTAAAATCAACATCAATGGAAGGAGCAATGGAGAAAAAACGACCGATGGAACGCGACGAGTATGAATTATTTTTAGGGCAAAAGAGGGACGAAATGAAAAGGAATTGGACGCTTTCTGCAGCGAGCAGAGGCAGCGAAGTGAGGATGAGAGGGAAAGTGATGGATTTATACTTGTTTATAACAACAAAAGAAAGAGAGAGAAAAGGAGAGAGGGATGAGGTTAGAAAATTAAAAAAGAGAGAGAGATAAAATATCTTCAGAGAACAGGAATTGCCTCCATTTTCGTCTCGCTTAACGAATCAAAGCGCGCCTTTTTTTACTTAACCCTGCGTTGACGACAGCGCTTATGAGTTGGAATATTTTTCTCCTCGGCTTTCTCCCTATTATCCTGCTTGTTTTAGCTCCTATCCGTATGTATATGTTGTCGGCCCGCCATTCCATACATTTTAACTTTTTAAGTGCCCGTTTGGGAGGGTGTAGGCTGAAGCGCAGCGGCTTCTGGCTTTCCAATGTGAGCCCATGCGGACAGCTTGAGTTATTGACATGGTTTTCAAAATCGGACGGTTGGACCGGAAAAACCGGGAACCGCTCAGGTGACTGGTTTTAGCTTTCTCAAAAATCAGATTTTCTTCAAATACCGTTGATTTTGGTCAGCAAATCGCTGATTTGGGCGATTAGTCGTTTGAACCGTTCAAACAATTTTGATCCTTTTTTTATTTTTTTATTTTTTGTCATAATGGACCAATCATTTGATTTATTTTTTATCATAATGGGCCAATCATTTGATTCAAACAGTTGGACGTTCGATCCAATAACCGAACCCCTGACTGGTTCAATCTCTATATCGGTTTTAAAAACCATGGTTATTGATGAAAATTCTAGATACGGCTTTATATGAATCATAAAATTGACCTTATCTCAGGTAGTTTCTCCAAAGGGTTCAATCCATACACCTCAGTCAACAAAGAAGCTTGTTTGTGCTCTTATGTTTTTTGTCAGATGGGAGGTAAAATGCATACAGGCATCCCTACATGTTTTGGGGCCAGTTTCAGCTTAGTACATGAACTTTCACATGTGTCACTTTAATAGTTGAACTGTCAAAAATATACATTTAAGTTAAATTCCTTTAAAATAATTTAATGGAAAGTAAAAAAAAATTAAGTTCAGTTTGCAAGCAGTACAAATGCAAATATGCACAACATAAATATATATAAAATAATATAAAATATAAGGTTTTGCACTCTACATATTTGCATTTGTATTCTTTTCAAATTCAGCCTTAGGTTCTGTTTTTCGGTGAAATATTTATCAGGGTAAGTGCATTTATATATATACTTAAAATAAATAATTTTGTCCCATACAAGTATTGGCAATGTCCTACAAGTGGAAAAGCTATTTACTTACCAAGGAGATGGGCATCACTGGAAAATAGAGCTTTTATGAATCCCACATAAATATGAAAAAATAACATAAATATCTTGGTTAATGTGAACCAAAATCAATCGACTAATTTTCTTTAGTTCTCAAAATCCAAAAAAAATGAAGAGACCCTTATATTCTAATTCAACTTTTTTTTTCACTATCCATCTTCTTATACATTTGGATTTCAAATGCAAACCAGCGGTGACATTTTTATAATTTACAAATAATCACACTTAAATTGAGTATTTATCAACTCTGCTTTTGGTGTATGAAAATAGAAGAAGAATAGTAAAAAAAAAAAAGAGAGAATTACAACATAGCTATTTTTAGGGGTGCTTACAGTTCGGTTAACCGAACCATGGACCTTTTTTTGTAACTGAACCAATACTACCAATTTTTAGAAAATCAATAATCGAAATCGAACAGAAGCCAATCGGTTAAACCGTTGACTGGTTCGGTTAACTGTCGGTTTTTTTGTTTTTCTACAATATATATTATAAAGATATAATATTATATTTAAAATAATATATAATATATAATATATTATAAATATATTTATATATAATGCATATTTATTAATTTATAATATATAAAAAATATATAATATAAAAATATATGTATACCAATCGGTTCGGTCCATGGTTTTCAAAACCAAACTAGATGGACCAGAAAAACCGGGAACCGATCACCTAACCAGTTATGTTTTTCCCCAAAACTGTTGATTTTGGTTAGCAAGCCACTGAACCGCCAGTTAATCGTTCAAACGGTTTTGACCATTTTTTTTTCTTTTGTTATAACGGGCCAGTAACCGGACCCCTAACTGGTTCAGTCGCCGAGCCGATTTTAAAAAACCATGATTCAATTAAACACTGATATTCTATATTGATTAACCGAAACCGAACCGATACCTTCATTTTTTTAAAACACTGAATCCATCGGTTTGATTAACCGGTTTTTCTGTTCGATTTCGATCAATTTGGATTTTCAGTTTTTTTTTCTCACCCCTAACTATTTTCATAATTTTATCATTGTAATATTCTTAGAGTGGGACATTTAAAAATTCAAGACCTAACCTAAGACTATCCCAACGTACGAGATACCTATATAAAATTTATTTAGAATTTTTATTGATCACTCCACTCATAAAAATCAAATCAAAATTCAAGAGGATAGTGAATCATTGGTGAAACTATTGTTAAATAAAACCCAAAACCCTAATAAAAATCCTGAGCTGCACTGAACTACTTTGGGGGTTGTGGGGATGCGTATATTTTCACTTTCACCACTGATTCTGATGTTCCAACTCGTCTGCTCCGCATTCTTTCCTTTTGAGTTGTGAACTCTGATCCAGGCCCCCTCCATGAGTAAACCGTGGCTTAAAATGTCAAAACACATGCTACAAGGATTTCGACCATTGAATTCGAATCTACACAAGTGCATCTTTCATATTCCAATCAAACGGTTGAAAACATGATGGCACCGAGACTCTACCTTTTTCAAATCTGTTCGCAAGCACTCGATTGAATGATGATGATTGATTGGTTGATTTCTTTGTTGTTGTGTATTTCCTTAAACCTGTATTGATTAGAAACATACTCAGATCAGATCATCCGAGACAGCTGAAGTGGTGATAATTGATAATTAGGGTTAGTTTACGCTTTTTTGACAATTCTGTGTTGTCTTCGAAAAGAGAAAAGGAAAATGCCTGTACCAGTACGCTACGGTTGCTTGTTTGGGTGGTGGACAGTGGATTTATTGCTCCCGCATGAAGGCCACAACCACAATAAACCCACCTTTTATTCCGTGGATGCACAAAAGCAGTCAGGTGAATTATTAACAGCAGCTCAACAACACAACCATACTGCTCTGTGAAAATTCGGAGTTTCACCGGTTGGCTCCGGTCGGCGGTCGTCCAGCAAATACCGAGATCTAAAGACCTGTCAAACCTTTTTTTTTCACCTGGCAGCCTTATGTTTGAAGCCATCCTTCACACCAAACGACAATCGACGCTCTCTCCCTCCAAAAGAAAAAAACAAAATCATAAGAGGAACACCCCTTAAATGATGAAATGTCGGTTATCTTTTGAATTTTAGGCTCCGTTCTATGGGTTGTGGGAAACGAGTTTTGAGACAACAAGTGCTTAAAACGTTTGGTAGGAGTTGCTTTTAATTTCTTTAGTAGTTGGGACCCTTGTGTTACAAAATGTTTTGTTAAAAGAAATTAAACTAAAATTAGCACTTTGACATTTTTAATTGAGCTGAGTTTATCCAAGTTTTTTTTTTATCTTTTTGATCTAGTCCAATCCTAATTCAAGTATTCTTGTTACTAATTTTAATTATTTTGAAAAGGAATTTAAATGGGCTTTAAAACAAATTAACACTTTTACTAATTTTATTATTTTATTAATTGATTTTATATTAGTTTTTATAATTTAAAATATAATTTAAATAGACTAAAATTATATTTAAGAATAATATATAAGATTAAATAGTTATTTATAATTATAATACGATTTTATAATTAATTATTGGTTTTATTACCATACTTTTGTCGTTTATCTTATTTTATTGTCTACTTTTCTCTTGTTAGTGTTTTAGCTTTTTTTTTTTACTTAAACATTAATATTTTAATAAACTTGATAAAAAAATTAAGTGCATGTATTTAAAAGGTGGTGAGAGTTAGAGATAAATATGCAAGATGGCAGACATTAGAAATTAGAAAAAATAAGACATGAGGAAGAAGAGGGCTGCTGACACGGACAACTACATTTTAAAACATAGTATAGATATGATCTGAATTGGAGTTATGTTTTAACCAAAAAAAAAAAAAACATTGTACAATATTTACGAAGGCCTGGCCGAATTAGTTAGAAATTGGGTTGGACTAAATCTAAATAAATTCATCCAAACTCTTATCGGTTTGAGTTGAACTTAAATCAAACGTTCACAATAGAACCGAAAATCATAACCTTTTTGTGTTTTACAGGTATTAGTTATCAGAGCATATGTGGGGGAATTTTTGCAAAAAAAGAGTTTTCTGAGATTAAGATGGTGTTTGGAAGTGTGGGTGTTTATTGGGACCGATTTTCAAGAAAAAACACCATGCTTCCAAGACCTGTTTTTCACAGAAAAAAAAATGCTTTAATTTTGTTTGGAAGTTTTTCTACCGCGTAGGCAGTGAGCAATACTATGTTGTTTGGTAAGGTGATTTTCATCACCGTTTTTCATGTATGTGCTGACAGGTAAACACCACATAGGATACACGTAATCGCCAATTAGTCAATCGTTGGGGGAAATGGTTCACCAATGCATAAAACACCAAATTTGATGTTTCATGCATTGGTGGGGTCCCGATTTACGAGGCAAGCCCGATTTTTCAATAAACGCCTGAACCAAACAATGAAATATATGGGTGTTTGTTGAAACGCCTATGTGGATCTAACGTGGCACCATTTTTTTTTTTTTTGAAAAATGGTCATGGTTCCAAACATCCCCTAAGAAGATTAATAGTCTATCGTGAAGAAGATTAATCTATAAACCGAACAAAATAAAAAAAAAAATACATTTTGTGAAGAAGTTTTGATTTTAATCAATGTTTTCAAAACCGGACCAGACTGGAAAAATCAGGAACCGGTCATCTTACTAGTTTTGTTTTACCTCAAAACCGTTGTTTGGCCAAATACTGTTGATTTGGTTAGCAAACCACTAACCTGAGTAGTCAAACCGTTCGACCTATAAATGGTTTTTGGCCATTTTTTGTTTTTTTTTTTATTTTTTATTATTTTTTTTTTGTTAGAGTGAGTCGTCCGTTCAGACTGGACGGTTGGACTGTTCAACCCGATAATCGAACCCCACAACAGTCCCCTGTCTAGTCCAGTTTTAAAAAAATATTACTCTCATGGATAGATTTGGGGTAACCCGGTCCTA